ACCGGAGATATTTTTTATTTCCAGTTCACAGTTTTCCAGTTACAATAGGCAGTATTTTAATAACAATTCATAATATTTTTGTCGCAGTTCATAGTATTTTAGTCACCGTTCATAGTATTTCAGTTGCAGCTTAAATTACTTCTTTCAGTTTACAATATTTCGGTCACAGTTTGCATTTTGTCGTTCGCAGTTTGCATTATGTCCTTCAAAAATTGTATATTATATTTTGGCCGCACTTCGCATTATTTCATTCACAGTTTACAGCATTTCGATCGCAGTTTGCATTATTTCGTTCACAGTTTAGAGCATTTCGGTCGTAGTTCGCACTATTTCGTTCACAGTTTACAGCATTTCGTTCGTAGTTCGCATTATTGCATTCACAGTTTTCAGAATTTCGGCCGCACTTCGCATTATTTCGCTCAAAATTTACTGCATTTTGGCCGTAGTTCGCTTTATTGCGTGCGCAGTTTACAGCATTTCGGGAGCACTTCGTATTATTTCGTTCACAGTTTACAACATTTTGATCGCAGTTCGCATTGTTGGTTCACAATTTGCAGTATTTCTGTCACAGTTAACATTATTTCGTTCACAGTATATACTATTTCAAACGCAGTTCATAGTATTTCAGTATTAGTATTTCATTTATCTCTCAACACGTTTTTTATAATTATTTAGTTCCACGGGTTTTGTCTATTTCCGTGACAGGGATAAGGAAAGGAACCAAACTGTGATTTTAAAGTACGAGTTCATAATATGTTATCATATCTCGAGCTTCAGATATGCTGAAGCGACTGTCAACACATTGAATTTCCAGAGCATTTATGCTCACGAGCAGAAAATAAAACTCTTATTTTTTGATATTTGAGAGTCATTTTAGTCTGCATTTAAAACGAAGGGATATATTTTCTGACATCGTCTGTTTGCACGCGCTTACGATTAGTTGCTGGATATTAGCATAATGCTATGTTATGGCTCTACCCATCGGCTGTCTACACATTGAATATCTGTAGCTGTTTGCTCAGCTGCTCGGCTACTGTGCTTAGACTCACTAGATTAGGTGTCATTCTCAGTTAGTTTAGGATTATGTTGTTATAAATTAAGCGTTAAATTTAACAAATAAAATGTTTATGATTGTAGTACATTAAACGATATGACAAAATTGAGAACTTTGCGGCAGTTTGCAGAAAGTAATATGAGTGAAGCCCACACTCACTATCTTTCAGTTCATGAACTGTATTTCTAGAAATTAATTAGTAGAATATTTAAAAATACGTAGCAAGATAAGAATTAAAAAATACATTGAAACACACAATGAATGTTTAAATAAACTTTTATGATTGGGTCTCGTTCTCGCAATTCACTAATCACTCTCTCATGAAAATCTAGCTATGGATGTGACTGAGCGCATTTAACGAGGACTTAAATATACCTAGTAGTTATTATTATTATACCTAGTAATTTACTACAGGACCTCAAAACCCAGTAGTTTATGGAGCTTGTGAGGTCAGTACCGCGGAGAGGAACGTTAGAACAAGTATTAAATACTTCGATCCTTCCATTTGGCACGGAATGATAAACCAAAGAACAAATTCAAATTACCATGTATCAGTTTCACATCCATGTAATATGTGTTGCGGTAGCATATATACTATGTTACGTATAAGATGCCCAAATTCAATTTCACGGTTGAGAAACTAAAAAATACGGCATCTGTTTTTTCATTAAAGGTCCATTAAAACATCAAAAATCTAATGAGCTGTATATGTTTGTATCCTTTGGTTTTTTTTTCTACCTGGGAAGCAGCCAGGCACTCCAGCTCACACGCCACAGTTAAATTAGCGAGTCAACATATACGCTTTGAAATTCAGTTCACACTTCTGCTTCGGTCCCACGTGAATGAAAGATACAGTCGCTGATAAAGAATGTTGTGAGCATGCATCAGTTGTAACAACGAGTTTATTAATTCTTATATAAACAATAATTGGAGATTTTTCTGCAAATGAATGCACAAATTATTTATAAGATTTAATTTAATTACCGATTTGAACGTATTGGTTTAAACGAGCTTTTGACAAGACTCAATTCTAGACGTGCATTTTTGCAATTTTGGGCTTTTATTAATTAATTATTATTATATTTTCGCAGGATCTATTTCATGTATTTCTTTCTTAGCTTCGCTACAGATGAAGTTTTGTATGTTCTTATATGGGAAGAATGTTATGCATTATATATTGCACTCGAAGAGTTCGTGGGCATCATGTTGCACTCCATTTACTTTCCGGTCTAATGTTGTATTCTTTGAATTTATTGTGCAAAACATTGGACTTTACGTGTTTTTTATGGTGTGCACGATAATATTGTACTCTAAGTGTTAATTGCATCAAAATATTCGCATGTCTTCAATCAAATCTAATAATAATGACATTGGAGATCAATCGATTAAAGGTTTAATGAAAACAAAAGATGGCCTTAACACACCAAACCCGACCATTTGAAACATTAACACAATAGAAGGTTTAGGACAGTTGCATGAATTAGCCAAAAATTATGCGATTATTTTCTTATTTTCCGGAGTGTGTCTTTTTTTACTTTAGAGTGTGTCTAAATTTGTTCAATAGATTTTACATTATGATTCTGCAGAATACCAAAGAACTTGACTAAACAAGAAACTATCATAAAAATATATTTAGTTTTTTTACATGAGGAAAATGAGAAAAACTAAAATTCATGGCCAAAATGTATTGAAATTAGACAAAGACATTTTAGATCATGCGTGGGGAAAAATGATGCGATGCCTGACGCAAAATGAGTCAGGTTGAAAACATTACCGTATATAGACCAACGCGATAACCATTTTCACTAGCACAGTTTAGAAATTCACTTTGGCAGCAACGGAAAAACAAATTTTAATTTTAAACTCGTAAAAAAATGCGTGACAACTATTCGACAAATTCATAAATTTGAAATTAATGTGCCAAGTTATTAGTTCGGCGGCGAATCTAATCAATTAAAAAATCTAACCTTAAGCGCACAGCAATTTAGGTAGTTTACTCGTATAGGTTGTGAGTAGCTGTGCTGATATAAAGTAAGAATAATTATTGTGGGTTCGGTCTATGAAGTACCGTTCCCTGGCAGGCCAAGCTACGAGACAGCGATGTAGTACCTATGCAACTATACATGTTAGCTGGAGCCGATAATTAGTAGTAATTTCAATTAATATAATGCAAGTATACATGTTAGCTGTAGCCGATAATTAGTAATAATGAACCTGAAGGCTCGAGCTTCTTGTTAAGCAGTAGGCCCTCAGACACGACATGAGGGAGTTGACGCATGAGGTGTTGATTTTAATGCTATGTGACGATCCTATGCTGTTGTCTCGGGAATTTTCAACAAGTTAACAAACTTTTATGATAGAATTTTGAAACAGTTTTGGTTCTTGAAAGCAATAAGAGGTAGCTAAGTAAGGATTTAAATTTCATATTGCTGTACTAATTAAGTAATTATGGCGTAAATTTCTCTGGCTTGCTGAAGATAATCGTACTTTGATGTCTGGACGTTTAGGTGCCGCTAATACTAGGGACCGCATATTCGCTCATTTCATTTTAATTAGAATTTTAGCTGGTCGATCGAAGATACTGACGATTATGTGTACAGTATCAGTAGCCTAACAAGCCGCCATTGATTAATTCGACGGGTTTGGAAGAGCCATTTTCCATAATATAATTGATGTAACAGGAACATATTATACATTATCCCGTGGTTACAGTTCAGAGTTCAAGGAATGGAGAAGGGAATTGAGGGTTCGATCTCATCATGCTGTGGCAGCTAGTTCTGGTCAAAACGGGCGAGGAGGCCGGGTGGTTAAGCACAGCAAAATTTGAGCAGTGAGTTGCATGTTCGAGACCCGCAACAAGCTATGAATTTTTTGCGATGTTCAAAATCGATGACAGGTTTAATCAATGCTGACACCGCTATTACTATTAATATTTACCAGATGTGCTTCAGTGTAATTAAGAGAACCTACACTGATGGCAGATGCACGATATCTGTAGAATATGTTTTTAACTTTATTTGATTTTCCGAGTTATCGAGTCATCATGCGACGTTGAAACAAACCAAAATTATTCAGTTGATACTGGAAGGGGTATTGATTTAATTTTAAACTTGAGAGCTCAATCTTTGTTTACTGATTCTATTTCTTTATACAAGGGTGGCCATTGACAACATGTGTAGTAGTAGTTCAAGCGAAAAATAATCCTCAGTGGTAAATTTGACGGAACTGTATTTTGTGTAATTAATTTTTCAATTAATATAATTTATGTGATTATTTGACTTGTAAACGGTGTATTCATACCTCACGCAATCCGTTAGCGACAGATATTCATGCTAATCTCAACCGTAAAATGTAAATTTATGTTATATAATATTTATAGCATGATAATTTAACAAAATTAATTGTCCATTCATGGCTCTCTGATGGTCGAGCAACTGAGTGTCGAGCACATGGCACCATTAACTAATTTTCATTTTCAAATCGTTTTCATTGAATTCTGATGCAGGCTTACATTTTTTTCTCATTATCAATTGTTCGATTGAAATTAACTCATTCTTGATTATTCCGATCCACAATGACTAAAACTTTATTGATGCTCTGCAGTTCGCGAAACTCATTAGTGACTGCCACTCTCATTAGCCCGTTCCAGGAGATAGTGTTGCACGAGACTTAAAATTCAGTTAAAGTTAATCGAGTTCAGATCTCACGCCATGTTGATATTGTGCATTGAGGATTGTGTGGGTAAAATTTTTCGTATGATGTTATGAGGAATGATTCTAGTGTTGTGTGTATATTTTTCAGCACATTACTTTTTCTCTGAACTTCTTAACTTTTCTTCAATGAATTTATTCCGATCATCGACTGGAAAATAGAACAAAGAAAACTTGATATTGCAACTAATACTTTGGTTAATTGCGTTTTCGACGAGGAATAAATATACACGAACAATAATTTAACATATACTCTTAAAGTTGATTGACTATGCGAAAAATACATGCACGTTTATACGTCCAATACGTGATTTAGATAAGCTATATAGCATATTGCAAGTTTTAGTATTTCTATTTTAGAGAGTTTCTTGTCAGGAGGCAGTGTTGGCAACAGTTTACGCAGCTCAGTGAACGCCATGTTGAAGGCCTCGACGCGCATGCGCTCTCGCGTCGCGTGAGCCGTGCGGTACTTCGCCGTCGCGCGCCGCCGTCGTCGTCGTTCTTCCTTCGTCAGACCGAGCGAACTGCCGTCACGGTCTCTGAAATGTGGACATATTCGTGTGGTAAACTGTCGGCTGTGATTGCCAAGTAGTAAGTTTCACTACTTACTAAAATACACTAAATAAAATAAAATACACTAAAATAAAATATACCATAACAAACTTCCTTCCAGTTCAAGCGTTAAATAATAAAATAGTATTTTTTCCGTAAAATAATGCCGACTTGGCAATCCTTGAGTTTTTACATTTGTGAGACACAACTTTTTGCTAATCTGGAATCAAAGCTCAAGTAACGGCTTCGTTGCACAACATCTTTGATCTCATCTGAGCATGATCTGCATTTAATCTTTATCTCTCAAAATATAGCAGGATTTTCCCCGCGCGGATAGTACTCCTCGCTCATCATATTTTTATACTTCTCATTAGATTTCATGAAGAGGATTTTATTGTAAGTTAAAAGCGTGCCTCACATCCAGCTTATACAACTCCGTCTGCATGTGTCTCACCGTCCTCTCCTCAAGATAACTGGCGGAGAGTCAGCGAGCAGGAAGCCTGGGTCGTTTTCTGTATCGTCCATGGCCCTCGAGTCTCGTTTGCGGCCACCGCCCAGCGTCTCCAAACCCTTGCTGCTGTTCGAGTCTGACTCACATTCTCCAGCAGACGAGTACAAACCACCGCTGGAAGACTCGTCTGCATCCTGCTTGCAGAAGACTCTTGCACCGTCCTCGTGGTCGGGTGTAATGTAAAGCTTCGTCAGATCGTCGGGATCTCGCTTCTGTAGCAGACTTGGCGCATCGTCGGAACCTGACACCGCTAACACCAACGAACAGTCACTGTCGGGTCCATGCTTTGGAAGCTGTTTAAATACGTCATCGCAGGCTTGCTTGGAGAAAAAATTGCCGTGAGAGTCGCTTGATTGTTGTTTGCAATTGGAAGTAAGGGATGTTGTTCTTGTGGCATGCAGGTGGTCGTATGAACTGAAAAGCCCAGAAGATTTGAGGTCGTAGTGTTGATCGCCGTCCAACCTGCCTCTTCAGAAAATAACGATAAAACCGTCGATTAATTCCAACCGATAAACATTTTCTTCATGCATGTGTATCAAAAATGTTTCATGCTTATTGCACCATGTAAAACCCGTGGTATGATGAGTAGGTAATTCAGTAATTTCATAGATTGGCTGCCAGAAATTTTGCGTCAAATCTACTAAAAGAAATGCATTCCGAGTGCAAAGAATTTTCTTGCCCCAATGGGATTTCAACCGCTATGAAATGAGTGAGAAAGCAATGCTGTGTGATGAAGTTTAATTTTTTCATTGTGCCTATTTTAGACAAATTTAGCTTGGGCCCTAATAAATTTTATGCTTATTTGTAAATTGAATAATTTTGCCATATCGACATCGATCTACAATTGATGACTGCTCTCATTACAAAGTCTATACTCTTTTTCAGTGCTTTCAAGATCAACTCTAAGTGACAATCGTCGAATGAATTAAGCGGCCTCACCTGTTACTGATGCTAGGAAGATTATTGCTGGTGATGGGAGCACTCGTCGCTTGCTGGTCCAGCGAGAAGTGCTGCTGATGCTGCAGTGCTGAAGTGTGCATGTCGTGCTGAGACAGTGCTGGCCCTAAGCCTGGCAGGGATCGTTGATGCTGCATGCTTCTCGAACGGATGTCACAGTAACGCTCAACAATAGGATTAATTGAAAGATATTTCGTCACTGTTTCGGAACTGCTCGCTCCAAAGGTATTAGGTATTGGTGTCAATAACATTGGTTCTCTGTTTAAAATTGATAAAAAATGTGACAGGAGGTAGATTCCACGAAACCTGAAAAAAGAATGACGGTATTAACCCGGTAAATATCACCATATTGAAAAAAATTTAAATCGTCGTGATGGAAATCACCACGAACAGAATAAGAGGGCGTGAAGAAGTATAGGTAAATTATAACAGTGATGTGCGTAAGACCTTTTGATTGTGAATTAACCCGCTGATTTTGAATGATTCCAAAAACTTTTATCGTGTAACTAATGAATTTTACAGATCTAGTCTTTGAAAGTGAATCTTATGCCGTGAAATTGTTTCACCCAGCTGCCAACTCGATCTTATTTGAACCTCAAGTTCATACTCTAAGAACAGGATGATTAATGAGGTAATAATTTTTGCTGCTGAATTTTCTGGGCAGATCAACCCACGTTACTGCCTCAAAATTTGCTGCGATGCTAAAAAGCGCTAGTTGTCTCTAAGAAACATTTTTCCCGTCACTGTGGAGGCTTTTTATGCTGATGTTCTGGGATATTTTTTTATTTGCCACCGATGAAGTATACGAAGTGAATCTGCATTTTTATGTTCAACGACAATTTTTCTTGATGCAGATCGTGCCTGAACGCCCACTGTCGTGCTAATTATGTTCACTCACCATTACCCGAATGCACAATTATTTTGATGTCAATGATTGTTACGTTCCTTGTAGCGAATTATTTCGATTTGAAATTTTATTTCGTTATCAAGAGTAAAATTTATCTTCCAAATTCCTAATGTAAAAGGTTGCAAAGCAGCCTCAGGATTGCAGCTTATCAGTTTAGATATATCCTGTTTTTTCCGGATTCAGCTTGGACATCGAACACATACAGTCATTGGTATTAATTAGCACTTTATTCGTTGAAAAGATTTCATTAGAATGATACATACAATGAAGAAAAACATTCCTCTAATACTTTCGAAAACTTCATTACACATTGATAAATTTGGAGAGGCTCCATGTGAACTTGACGTTTTTTATATTGTTTACGATAATATGCCATATAAAATAATTACGGACAAATCAATTATTTCGCATCATCATGCGATGTTAGGCAAAAATGAAATTTATCATGAAAATATCAAAAATTATTCTACGAAATATTTTTATTGAACAGTTTTAACCCGCGCTTCAGGTTCCCAGGAATTTTTTCTGCAGTCATGTTCATATGAACACGAGTTCATTTGAACCTTCTGTCAGGTTTGGTCCTTAATCTAGTCTTGAACGATAAAAGTGTTCATTTTTGTGCAACTGAAAATCATCCTTGTTCATGAAATGCTAATAAAAGGATTCTGTTGAAAAATACTCTAATAATCTCTTTTCTATTAGCGGTGATTTCGATCAAAGTTAATGATAAAATTGCTTGCCGTATTATTAGAATTGCTTCAATAAGATCCACAATTCTACTCGAATGAATAGTCATTCAAAATAATCAAGATTTGTTGAAATAAAGTGCGAATATCAAAGCCCTTGAAGTACATTCCACTTGTAAGGAGCATTTTATCATTAGCTCCTGCTGGAGTACAGTTTTCTAAACCATCTCTATTTTGTCGAGAGTAATTAAATGGAACACGAGAAGTGAGAACAACAAGACTTCCCTTGCATGGACATGAACTTTAATTCACTGATATCACCACGCCTACATCCAGGAAAATACTACATTTTGCTTATTTCTAACAATTATTTGGGTTACAGATCTTGGCTGAAATTTATCACATTTTCTAAGTGTCACTCCACAAAGCATTCTTCCTTGGGTCGATCACCGGAAGAATGCATTGGCCACAAACATCCATTTCTTTTCAAATATCATAGTCGGAACTGTGAGTTAAAAGTTTAATGTGTAGTGTTAAAGAGCACGTCATCCTAAGAGCGACGTACGTCACGAGGCTAATTACAACAGAGGGCAGTTGTCGTGCAGCTCGACCAAACAGCGCTTGTTTACACTGAGGGTAAATAAAGAAACTGAGGGCAGTTTGCCGCTCACCAGGCACACGTTTCAGACACCGTCTCCGCCTCTCACATTTTCCCGATACCAGCGCTCGTATTGGCCAGTGGCGCGAGGGAAAACAAAGAGCGTGTATTCGATTGGAGGATAAAATCGAAGGAACTGACTCTATCTGACACCCATTGGCTTCAGAAGAAGCTGAGGGCTACGAGGTATCGATCTGGTTGGTCAGGCTGGATATCAAGCCCAGGCCTGGATTGGCTTCCAGTCTTGCTCGCGAATTTCATCGCTGCTTCTGACTGGTCGGAGGCGCTGGCGCATAATAAAGTGACGCCACGTCAATTAATTGAGGCTGGGAGTTTCGCAGCTGCGTCCCCTTTAGAGCTCCAATGGCAGGGTCCGTTCATCAGGTGCGAAAAGGATTTAGTCGACACTCGCCGATTTCAATGGAAATCGTCCGATAAAGACCGCGTAATCAATGAAAAGAGCTCCTCTAAGCGGGGTTTTCTGTTTGCTTTGACTGGATTCGAGGGCTACTATGTTACAAACTATTAATAACATGCGATGATAATGCATAGCGTTTAGGATAAATTCCTATTGAAAAGATCCAGCAAACTTATTCAATCGACGATCCTGCTTGCAAATCTGTGCATAAAAATAAACGAAAACCTGTTAGCGAAGATACTAACAACATTGTATCATTAACCACTACGCATGATGCGCGTTACATTAGCAGTATTACATATAATGGGCCCTGATGAGAGCATTAAAGTATTGAGCAGCCGATGGTCGATTAGGGAACTTGTAGCAGAATTGTGGAAAGTTGCTTCGTTTCCAAGTGTGAAACAAATTCACCATCTGGATAACGTCCCAGTCAAGCACCAATGTGGGCAACGAAGTCGATTATTGTGGTTTATGTCATAACGAGGAAGATCCGACCACTCGATGATTTGGCAGTCGAATTTCCCTTAACAATCTTTACAAATGAACGGCGAACTATAGACTGTGGGTTTATCGCTGCAGATCGAAGTAAATAAGAGTAGTCAACTCAACAAACAAATAAAAAAAATTATCTGGAAACTTGTCGGTTGACTTTTAACTCTTTTAGATTAATAAATCTGAAATAAATGTACATTTTACTTTCATATGAAAAACATTAATTCATGATTTTGTGATGAACACATAATAATTGATTATGTTACTGATTATTAATCACAATTAATTATGTTATCACCGTTTCTATTATCTAAAAATTTACTTCCTGCATTGTTACTACCAGCACCGTTACTACCAGCACCGTTACTACCAGCACCGTTACTACCAGCACCGTTACTACCAGCACCGTTNTACTACCAGCATCGTTACTACCAGCATCGTTACAACCAGCATCATTACTACCAGCATCGTTACTACCAGCATCATTACTACTAGCACCGTACTACCAGCATTGTTCCTACCAACAACGTTACAACCAACACACAAGGATGCTCGTCCTGACCGCAAAGTTGGTGTAGAGAACCGTGAGAGCGAGTCTGTTTGTATAGTTTGGAATGCTGAGGCTATCGATGGCTGACCTTAGTGCAACTCGAAACTGTAGCCTTTTGTGTCGGATCACCCTTTCTTGTACTAGAAAGTCTTGCTAACGTAGGATACAGACTCGAATTTCCAATATTCATATTTAATGTATCAGTATTTCATTGAAATCCTCTCCCTATCCCGTTTTTGCTCTAACCTATTTCATATGGTGTTGCTGTTGATATTACTGCTGTTGTGACTGTTACTGCTGTTGTTGCTGTTGCTGCTGTTAACAAGAATCTCTTATACAAGAAAAGGGCGATCGGCGTTAGTTTTTTTTTAATTAACGACGTTAGTTGATTTTGCTAAATAATTGAGCCAGCAGTGAAATTGTTTGCTCCGAACATGAATACAACGATCGTCTGTTCTACTCATGGCCTGACGAGACTCGACGTGAGAGGTGACCACATGCCTCAGTCTCAGTGATGGTTGTGCGGTTGAGCGCGAAGGGTTGTCCTGAGAAGCGCTCGCGCTTTCATTCTCTGTTTTCTTGTGCCTTTTAATTACCGTGTATTTCATTAGAAGCTTGATTGTAATGAGTGAATGTGATATTACTGCTGCACAAAATATTGCCGCTTAGTTGACAATTTTGTCATACTTTTTTGTTTCCTTAAATGAGACAGGCCAACTGCCGCTTGACATTCTCGTTCGCGGCACTTTTTAAACATAGCGCCAAGTTCGAGGGTTGCCTGGTACGAAAGTATGTTTGAAAGAGAAACTGACACAATTTCTCATCCGTGCATAATCAAATTAATAAGCATGGAACGTAACACGTAAATAATGAGTTTGAATTAATTGTCGATTACGATACCATTATTTAAGTACACATCCTACGTTATAGTTCCTGTTGCTGCTAATGTTACTGTTGTTAATTACTGCTGCTGCTGATGTTACTGTTGCTGCTGTTATTATGTTGCTGTTGATATTGCTACTGATGCTGCTGCTGTTTCTATTATTATATTAATTATTGACTTTATTGTACCTACTCCACTCAGTCCACTGCAGATCATATTAATTCCATTTGTGAGATGTCGTCAAGAAAGCCTTTTGCTGAATTGTCACGTAGGCAGCAACAAAGAATAGTTTCTAGGTGTTTGGCGAATCATAAATTGGAAAGTCAGCACCCAGAAATTGAGCAAATAGAAAATAGTCCATCTCAGTCACCGGTCACTACACCGGCTGCTTTACCAAATAGGAGTAATGCTGACACCTCTGCATCGGTACCAAGGAAGTGCTCTGTTCAGCAGTAAGTTAATCTTTAAGTTGAAGAAACTTGAAAACAATATGACCACTTGAGAGTGTGATTACGTTCAATTCAAGGTGTTAATTATTTTGAGGCTTCTTGTTAGTCAGGGATAATTCATAGAAACTCTTCGTAGAGCATTAGTCAAAAATAAATTTAAATCCGTTTTGTTACTTTTATTTTAGTGTTTAATGATATTAATTCAATAGGCAAATTCTCAGAGAATTCATAATTTTTTGATATTTTATTTGTTACACACACTGATTTTTCTCATACCTGCATGCCAACAGGCGTGGGGCTCTCCTAGAGGAATGGATGGAACGCATCGAACGTATCGTGCAAGAGCAAAAGAAGGATCAGAAAACAATAATAAATAAAATGGAAAGGATTGAACGGCAACTGAGTCACCTAATTTCCTTGGCGGAAATCAAATCTCTGGGCGCCTCTGAAGCTCTGCAGGCGCCAGCCACTTCCATGACGGAATTGGACAATATTGCTAAGGATCCAAACCTGGTAGGTAAAATATGAGCAATTTCTACCATACAGATTCAAAAATTACAACCATACATCGGATGCAACTCGAAGATGACTGTGAGGAGAGTCCTTAAGCGCTGCATGACACGCGATTTGGCACTTCACTTCAGCTTTACTGGTTTAGGAGAGAGACGAACTGTCTCAAAACAAGCATTTGGGAGTCACCTTCTATGCACGCGAATTCTAGGTGGGTATTGGTATCAAGGAATCATTATTCATGATTTATGGTTTCTGTTAACAGTTTAAGGGGAGCATGTACGTCAATTTTTTATTTATTCACAGACGTATCATTTTGAAACTCCGTACACATATATAAAACAGAAATCTAAGACTTTTTTGTTCGTGTGAATTTTTCAAAAATAATTGAAAGAAAACGTTCAATTCGTGGAAAAAGGGGGGGGGGGGCACTGTGAAAATCTATTAGTTCATTCAATTAACGTGAGAGACATATTCGATTCGGAAAGACCATAGCGTCTTTACGGACCATAGTGCTAGATCGGATGATCTAGCGATCATCCGATTACTTTATCCAATTTGTTTTATTTATCTTATTTTTTTCAATTTTGGCCCCTTCTCCCCCCATTTTTTAATATATAATAAAAAAAACGAATAAGAAAAATGGCCGGATGATCGCTAGATCAGGTCTTTACAAATCGAATGGTGCACCACTAAATGCTCTTGCTTGAAAATCATATTTTACATAAAAATTCCAAGTTTTCAGGCGAGCCAAAAACTTAGATTAATTGTAATATTATAAGGTCTAGGCGTTACTTGCGCTTCGATGGCTGTCGTGAACGAACAAATTATCGCACAAAAATTACTTTGGGCACTTTAAAGACGCTGTTCTTGGGCGTTTAAAATGAGCCTAGAAACCGGAAAATTTTATATCTTCGATTTTTGATGAACATGCTACTCTTAAGCTCATAATGTTGATAAGCTCATAGCATAGTATAGGTTGTTGTTTCGGCGCTGAATATAAAGGCTCGTGGCCTGTCGCTGATTTTTTATTTACTTGTACACTGGAGATCTGAAAACTGGCGTTTTGATCAGATCATTAAAAACAGACGTAGGTTGGAAATAGCTACTGGGCTTTTACTAGGTCCGGAAGCTTCTAAGCATTTCACGTCTGAAAATGTACTGTCGCATTGCTTTGTCTAGATTGTTCCTGAACACAAGTGGACGCGCAATAAACCGATTGAATGTTGATAGATTCAACATGTTTCTGTGAGGATCTCGCTTGTTTTTATAGTTAGACAGCTCATAATTTACAGCGAAATCAATAAGGTTTCCTTAATTAACCTTAATTCTGTTTTTTGGCCTCTTACGATTTTCATAGAGATGACCAATGAATTAATTTGACCTCGCCAACTTTCAGGTGATGCCGCTGCTTTGCAGATGAATGATACTAGGGAGGTGCTGGTTGCCCACATCCAGGCCGCACTCCGAGGTGCGCGTGATTGGGACGGAGGGAGAAAGTTGCGGCTTGATGCTGCTGCATCTCTTTCGGGTGTCGGTTCATCACCTCTCCGTGCTACAGTATCAACTGCAGGTTTATTTTCTTGTACATCACCTGCTGGATCAAGCGGCGGTCCAGGTAGTCCTGTCTTCCTACCATCGAGCTTTTAAATTCCCGATATTGAGGGAGCTGGCGCTGCAGCCATAACTTTCGATGAAGTCTAACAGCCTAGTCTCTCTGCAGGGAACTCGACAACTGGTGATGTATGGAATGATTCCATTGACAGCTAGGAAATGTCACGTTTAAGTGTGTTATCATGATTAACTGTTTTGCAGTGACATTATTAAGGTAGCAAAATTGGTGGGATCTGCTCGTGGCCAGTAAATCTAGTGTCTCTCCTTGATTAATTCTTAGCATATGATCCTAATTTAATGTCGTGCCATACTGAGGTAAGCTCATTGACTGAGATAGACTAAATTGAACCGAGGTGAAAACTAGAATGAATTATTCTCACGGTGTATTACTTGTTCAACTGTCGACTAACCTGTCGAAAGTAAAATAGTAAAAAAATCTACTGTCGTTTTATTAACACGGTCGTTTGATTTAACGGGTGCTTGGGATGGAGTCGCACGACATATTACTGATATTTTATGAAAAAATTTATGCATATGATTAATTTAGTAAGGACGGTGCTAACTATACAATATGTATAACTTTTCATCATGGAAATGTTTTTGTAAGCGTTGAAAATTATTATTGACTCGTATCAATTGTGCGCGTAAGTCATATAATAGGTTTCTACCAGAATCTATACAAGAATCAAAAATTAATAGGATTTTACCAGAATCTACGTAGATTTTTGCGTTGTATCGTTGTTCCAAAATGAAAGTAAATTGCAGTGTATTGGTCGGTCTTTATTCAACTGTCGTGTAAAGTTATGTTCAGTTACAGGAGTAGAATTCATTATATTCGATACAGTAGGGCATGAAAACTGCTAATATTCGGCATCGAATATTATCGATTCTGCATCGCAATATTATAGATTCGACATCGATTAATGAATATTCGGCAACGATTAATGTAGATGCGGCGTCGATTAATGTAGCTTTGACGTCGATTACTGAAGTTTCGGGGTCGATCGATCAACATTTTACGTCGATTATTGAATATTCGACGTCGATTAATGCAGATTTGGCTTCAACTACTTTAGATTCGATATCGATCGATGCAGATTCTTCGATTCAACAAATTACCAGGTGCAGAAACTTCGACGATCTTAGCTGAATCTGCATAGAAAGTTCCTCAATAATTGTCGTTGCGAAAGTTCCTCAATAATCGCCCCACGACATTGCCCTCTCCGTTGCCCACTCCAAATGGGGGTTTGCCCTTATCGATTGAGCAAGAATCTGCATTAATTTCTTCATCGATCCGCCCTAATTTTCATCGATCGATCAAGACCTGCTTGACTGGAAGTTCTGTACATAAAGTTTTAGATGTGTTTCACCTCAACAAAATGAATACATGCTCCTAAAATATCATATCGTGCAGAAATCTATTTTTTTCTATAAGTGTTCACTGCACCATTTCAGGGCGCTCATGAATTCATTGTTTAGGTAAGTGATGCTTCGGCAACCCGCCCAGTTACACTCCAGAGTCGATCTGATGTTGAAAATAGACCTTCTATTTCTTAGTTTCTTCTTATTTCTTCTAAATTACTTAGCGGAGAACTGACAAAGAATAGCCTTATTTTTCAATTCAAATTGCGCATGAAATTATTTTGCCAGGAGCAAGGAGCTCCAGCTTAAAAAACGAGAAATATCGGAAATACTCCCGGCAATATAACAGCTTCATTTTTCGTTTCTGTAATTAACCTTAGCGTCTAGAAATGCAAATTTCCGAATTTTTGTTCAAGAAAATATTTGACGAAAAATATGTTTATAAAAATTCCCAATACGTTCCATCTACGGAAGCTAAATAATATTTAGTGTATTAACAACAATTCTCTCTGAAAAGTAAGAGAAATATACAAGCTAATTGAATGAATACATTTAATTACTAATAAGACAATGACAGGGCAATGACCCATGGTCTAAAGCTAGTTCGATGAAAAATCTGCAAACCATGTTGATAATGAATGAAACTGTATACATGATAGCATGATACAATAAAAAAAATTACATGCTAGAAACTGATCGTATCTGTGCTCGAATGTTGTTCTAGATCGGGAGTTAAACTTTATTCCAACATGAGTCATGTTATGACATTAAATACAAAGTGGAATGGAATTTAATCTTTAAATATGCAAAAATTGTATGCCATCATAAACTAAAGTAAACAAACTACGATAAGTAATCACGATACGATAAGTAATGAAGTACGATGTATTACTCGCCGTAATACAAGCATTGCAATAATTAAAATCAACTATCAGAACCATGAGCCTATAACGTTTGAAAACCGCAGTTTGCAAATAACATCAGTTCACACGATGCTTTATTAACTAAATGTCACAGATGCTTTATTAACTAAATGTCAAATGATGGATTTATTATGGAATTACTCAGGTATCTTAATCATGGATTACATTTTCTGGATTACATTACAGCGTAATGTAATTTACATTACATGGATTACATTACAGCGTTGGCAGTTTTATGACGACATATTATCTGCCAACGTTGTTCCATTTGAGTTGTTCTAGTTTATTAATGCAATACTCCCAGCGTTCAATATGGACCAGTTATTGCCAGTTTCCTAATAAATGGAAACTGGGATTTGATAACACACTAAATCCTCATTGATGCATGACCGACTTCCGTAAAGTAATGCTCTTCGGTGATTGACTCAATGATTGAGATACCTGAATTAATAATCGGGGAAATGATTATATTAATCAGGATTTAGTGTGTTATCATATCCCAGTTTCCATTTTTGTTCCTAAAGCTCGATCGACTCACTTACAGAGAAAATGTCTAAGTCTACGGTATTTACCTCGATAGTTTTACTGTGTATTAGGGCAGACTCATAAAGTTTTCAACTTTCTCGAATATTAAATTTACAGACTTAATTAAAAACTAGCTGCATTATTGAAGAAAGACGCATGCGAAGACAACGCTTAACAAATCCATCAATCGACAAGTCCGAAACGCAAAGTTTGCCTCATATAGCCAGAGGTGGCCAATAGCGCGTTACATGTAGCGGTAGCGGTAGCGGCGCTACATTTAAGCAATTGTAGCGGTAGCGCCCGCTACATATTTAAGTAGCGATATGAGGTTTTGCGGCTACAGCGCTACCGCTACATTTATAGATAAAGCCTTTAGATTTTGCTTAATAGTATAAAATATTTTTTAAAAACCAGCATGATACATACATAATATAAGTTACAGAATAAAACTGTACGAAAGATTTCGGTGTAATGTTGTCAACCTCAGCCTGTTACTAGTGTCAACATGTTAGTTGCTACTTGCTAAGTTGTTACCAGTTACCACATACAGGTATTTTATCATGTTTCAGTTTGCTTACAATTATTTTTACAAAGTTGATTTTATGTTTCACCTTCCCTATACATGGATGTCTACTTTAATTTACCAATCTCAAAAATAATCCACATATATATACAAATAAAAGACAGATTTTTTATATGTATATGTGGATAATTTTTGAGATCGGTAGATTAAAGTAGACATCCATTTAGGGAAGGTAAAACCTAAAAATATCTAACTTTTATTTACTGTATCTAACCCGTACTAGTTCAATTAGGTTAATTGTAATAATGTTGCATTGATATGTTATTATTAAATGTTTATGAGTAAATCCCAATAGCAGAACAATAAATATTTAGAGATTTCCAATAATTTTTGCCATTGTAGCGGCGCCACATTTTACTGTAGCGGTAGCGGTAGCGCTCGCTATAATCTAGTTGGTGTAGCGGTAGCGCCCGCTACATTTAGAGAATGTATCGGTAGCGGTAGCGGCCGCTACATTTCAAAGTAGCGCTGCCCAGCTCTGCATATAGCGTATTTTAAACTTTAATTTTATTTCATTTTGAGGAATTGTCATACCAACATACCAGTAATAATTAATTAATTCTTTAAGGAAATTGCTCTGCTCTTCTGTGTATTAGACTTGATGAATCTAGCAATGATTGAGATACCTGAATTAATAATCGGGGAAATGAATGTTCAAATAGCGTTGGCAGTTTTGCATGGAGATGTCATCCTTGCCCATGGACCTGACAGGGGGTATCAGTGCTACGGCTGCACTCTGCATGAGGTGGGGGATGAAAAGTCTGACATAATTAAAATAATATGACTCATTTATTTGTCTTGGAGACGGGATACGGCATTAAACCATAGCTTGATTTGAGTTGCATTTTGAATATTGTTCTCTAACTCTGCACGTGGAAGGGCTCTTACTGTGCATGGCTCTTAATTATTATTTATTGGTGTTCAATTACTTCTTTTATATACTCAACGTAATTAAGTTGCTTTAGGTGTACCGTGTACGTACGTCTTTATTTAAAAAAATTTCCATATAAAGCTCAACGAAAGGTCATTACATTGGCAAACAGAGCTGGCTACTTCTGTGCTCTCTTTTATGTAATTGAATAATTTATTATCAAAATTGCCTTGATCATATTTGACTTTGAGAATATCTGCTTTACCTTATACAGTCTCACAAAGTACTGCAGCGACGTTGAATCGGCATATAACTTAACACTTCCAGTAATATTAGGTAACGTGTTGGCCTTGTAGGAAGGGACCGCTTATACATTTATGTGTAATAATATTAAGCGGTCTACCTGTTCAGTATGACCGTCGCTTGGTGATCTTGATAAATTGTTAAATTTGCGACTGGAACGTATCCATTACTCAAGTACCCTTGCTTCTTGTCATGCTCAATGTTGAGCAGCTTAAATTGGAAATATTGAATATTGTTCTTTTACTGGGGACTTATCTTGAGCTCACTGCCAATCATTCTGGACAGACGAGGTGAGACTAAATATTCACAATATGGTATTTCGCTAAATACTGATTTGCAAAAAATAGTAAAAGGCAGCAATGGGGACTGGAGTTACTTTGTTAATTTTAGAGTTTTTTTTTGTAATGCATAAATAGTTTTGATGTTCATCCCTGATTGTTTGGGTTTGAAATATTTCCTTTTTAGAATTAACCGAGAATAAATGTGCGTATTTTTCAAAAGTTGCCGCAGCTAATGAGAGATAAAACAGAATAGATAGAGAAGACTGATTGAAAAAAATAACTTGCACGACACCCTCCTTTTCGCCCCCAGATAGCCTAGTGATTGATTTCTCATCAGATCCTGCATTCGCAATGTAAGACAGGAACATCCAACATTATTCTCCCGCATAACGCCGGGATTTCATTTGCCTTGATAGTTGCGCTAAACCTGCGTAATGTCACAACGGAGTCTTCTTTATCTTGTTAATAATTCCCAGCTACAAGGTTCGGCGGAAAGAAGTTTATATACGAATTTAAAAAAGAATCTTAAGTGACATGCGACTCTACGTAACCACGTAAGACT